ATCAATGAGAGAATGAACCCATAAGAATATTGAGCCATTCAGATCATTGAGAGCTTCACTGGAATGACTTTTAAAAGCAAAAATAGATAGTTAGCTTAATTCTCCCTGGGACAGAGGTTTGTTTGTCTTGTTTGGACTACGCAGTTATACTTGGAAATTTGCATAAGGTTTGCCTTCTTTCCAAATGTGTCATTTGTAGAAGTAGCTTTTAGTGCTTTCATGAGCTTAGTAGAGAACTAGTAGCAATAAGTTTGGTTAATGCTTATTCTTAGAAAAATAATTAGGAATTTGTAGCATCTTTAATCTTTTAATTTGCGCTATTAGAGACCAGTGATTATGAACAATTTCAAGTATGTGAGGTGAGTGACATCATTTTAAATCCTGTTTCAAAGTATACTTCTGTCTGCAAGACTGAACAGCAAGTAGATCACCCTGGTTAATGCCAAGATTAACTGGTAAACAATTCCATTTCTCAACAAATTCAGATGTACATTCTTCCTTGTCATCGACCTTGCTATACAATGTCTCTCTAGTGCCCTTTCCCCACCTCCTAACTACCAAATTCTTTGAGCAGTGAACAGGCACAAATCAGGTGTCATTTACAGTTCAGATGCAATGATGATTTTGTACATTGAAGGTTTAAAGTTTAACTTGGTTTTGCATTTCACTCACCTTGCATACTTAACTTTTATGAGGCACTTTTTCTCATCTTCCTTGGCTCCTAAGGTAATTTGAAATAAGTTATCTCGAAAATATCAAAACTATTTCTTGATTTATTCTTCATTTCCTCTCCCCCTCCCTTTGCTTTTCATGAATCTATTGTCAAACGGTTTTTTTTGAGGGGGAAGGGGTAGCCACTACAGGGGAGGGGGTGCTGACTATATTCATTAATTAAGAGAAGAAGAGATGTAATAGGACTTAGGACTTCAGACTTGAATCCATTCAACTCTATCATCTCAACACCTGCCTCACTGCGGCTTAATTTTCTGAGTAATTTCCCAGGGGTGCCTCACAAACCGTGCCACTTTCCATAGCCTGTTAACCATGTCATTTTGTTGGCTTGAGTGCTACAGACATGTTACAGGTTGGTGAAGTTTTCTGTCTTTTCCTTAAAAATCTCTCTCTTTTCTTAAGATGCACCAATTCCCTTTGCCGTGGCTGATCCCATCCACATATCCATGTATTTTAGCTGAGATTACTTCCTTCTAGCTTAATGGTGACCAGTTAGTAAGTAGCATATGAGTGTGAAGGAAAGCATAAGTAGCCTCAATCAGTTCCCTCTAGCAGGCCTGGCTGGGACAGGCAGTTTGGCAAATATAGCAGCACAGCTGCCTTTGAAATAGCAAAGACTCTGCTGGGCATCTATTTGCGGATCATTTCCTTTGTGCACAAGGTCGGAAATGCCAGTTCTGGAGATGAAGCAAATATATTCCAGGCCCCCTCCTGCCTGTGCCATGTTTGCAGACCCCTACTTCTGCCATGACATCATAGGCATGCCTTTTATTTGGAGTTGGTAGGACTCATAGTTGTGCTGGAGGAAGACTAATGTCTGTGCCTTTAGAGGCTTCCTCTGAAAGATGTGTGATTTGGAGGTGACTGCCCAGGCTGTTCTGGTGCAATGTGGTTGGGGAAGAATATGATGTGTGGTGTCCCAAGAGACAAACAGGATTTTATCAGCCACTCTTCATTTGAGTCAGAAAATCAGATGCCTTGAAATTGGTTGAAACAGTCAGCAAGGTAGAGATTTCTGCCTAACATAATGGGACTTCAGAAGCAGCCAAGCCGAATGACTCCTGTAATACAGAATGTGAAGCAATAGGTAAAAGCTACCAGCAGGCAGATGTGGGTTCAGAATAAAGGACATCTTAAAACAATCAGCTGTCAAAAAAGCATAGGATTAAATGCAAAGGACCTTAGAGGCCAACCCCCTCATTTTTCAAAAGAGGAAACCGATGTGGAGATTAACTGATCTGCCCGAGGTCACACAAATAATATAAGAGGTGAAATTTGAACTGAGATCCTCTGATTCCAGTGGTAGTGCTATTTCTATCATACCGAAGTGTTCTCTAGATGAAAGGGGATGACCTCAAGATAGTGAGTTCCCCTTGGTGGAGGTGCCCAAGTGGTGGCTGTACTCTACATTCCAGTCTAACTAGATGAGTAGACATTCTCTTCATTCAACATGCCATCTCTCCCTACCAGACATTTGCCAAGGCTGTCTCCAGTGACCCTCTTCAATTCCACCTTTTATTACCCATCTCTTTTGTCAAGATTCATTTCTGGTGTCACTGCTTTGATATAGGTCTCTGCGGTCATCTCAGCTGCCTGAACGTTTTCTTTCCTAAAGTATTCCTATAGCACGTTGTTTAGATTTCTCTTTTGCTGCCAGCATTCTCTGCTTTGCATCATGTTTAACTCTGGACGTGGAGTATCCTCCTTGGTCCACCCCTTACATTACTCTATAGAACCCGAGTGCCTTAAAGGCAGGAACTGTGTTTTTTTTAATTTCATTTCTCCAATGCCTTATGCATATATGACTATATGCAGGATTTCTGAGTTCATCAGCATGGGGTCTCCCAGCTTAGAAACTCCCTTCACCATCCCGCTTAGTAGATAAGTCCTAGAGAACTACCCAAGGCACAGAGGAGTTAAGTGATTTTCTCAAGGTCACAAAACTAGTAAGTGACAGAGGTGAGATATGAACCAAGGTCTCCCTGACTTTAAGTCTAGCACTCAATGAACCTAAGACACACAGGCTGCTGCTCTTCATAAAATGAGTACATATTTTAATTAATGCAGTAGATATGTATTTCTTTTTTGGGCAGCTAGGTAGTACCATGGATAGAGTGCTGGGCCTAGAGTCAGGAAGACTCATCTTCATGAGTTCAAAGGTGGCTTTAGACACTTACTAGCTGTGTGACCCTGGGCAAGTCACTTAACCCTGTTTGCCTCAGTTCCTCATATGTAAAATGAGTTGAAGGAAATGGCAAACCACTCCAGTATCTTTGCCAAGAAAACCACAAATAAGATCGTGAAGAGTCAGACACTACTGAAAAACAACTGAACAACAAAGATATGTATTTTAATTCAACTATCTAATGTCTTTTAATTAAAGGATATTGTAACAAAAGACATTATAGACCAATGCCTTAAGTAGAGGTTGGGCTGGATCTTCTCTGAGGTCCTTTTACCTCTAATATGCCCTGATCCTGACATTTCTTTAGCAATATAAACACTACCAGCAGGGAAGACATTAAATTGAGGTGTAGCAAAGGCACCCCCCAAATTAAAGTCTTCACTTCAACTTCCTTTTGGTTGGCTAATATTTTTACCCACTATCAATCAGACAGATGTTGGGAGCTGTTTTATTTTCTAGGAATGGGGGAGGGTTTGGTCTGATCTACCTATACTCTTGTATCTGGGTAATCTTGTGTTATATTTGAGAAGAAATTGGCTGGAGTCAGAGATTCAGTCTGTGGTTGATAATCAGACTGTGGCATCCTGCAGAATTAAGTACACCATGTGGGGATTGCACCTCAAGCCTATGTTTGGTAATCGGATACTCTACTCCATGCCAACAGAGCTGACTAGCCCAAAGACCCTGACTATATGGACTCATCATCCCTACCCACTTTCTGGATGGGTCAGTCCATGCCTTGGGACCATTTCTTGTAGAGACAGCCTTTTTCTCTCTTACTCTTTGTCCCCATCTCTTGTGGGTCTTGCCCTTCAAACCCACCCAAAAGCAAATATACAAATAAAAAACCTTTGAAGTGATAAAATATTACCAATCTTCCTTTTTTAGACCTCTCATTAACAGTTTCTTATGCACTTCCGTTGGACTTTTCACGTAAGAATGTGCATTGTGCTGGGCCTTATATATATATTTAAATATTTATACATATTTATTTATATACATATATATACATATATACATATATACATACATGTGTGTATATATACATACATGTATATCAGTACCTAGGAAAGCACTCTACACAGAGTAGGCACTTGTTCAGTGTTTGATTGTTGCTTGGTTGATTAAATCAATGTATGAATGAATGAATGAATGATAAAATAGGTCTGGGACTATTCTTGTGGTCACCATATGGGTGAAAAGCATTTGGCTATGTTGGTACAATAATAATAATCTGTTTATGTCAAGTTTTAGGGTGTTAGGATGAATTTTCACATGCTTCATAATCAAGCCAACCCATGATAAATCAGGAGAAACTGACAGTCCCAGTTGTTCATATATTCCTCCTCTCACATCCATTTTCCAGCTTTCCTTTATGCACTGTTCCTTGAGGATATGGCCTGTCTTGTTTGTATTCCCAGACATTAGCACAATGTCTAGCACATAGTGCTTAATAAATTATTTTTCTCTTTACTTGGGTGTTCACCTGCTTGCCCCCATCCTTCCCTACACGCGTGATAGGGTGTGAACACAAAATCCTTTTTTCATGTAATGAAGCACAACATGAGGCTGGATAGGTTGCTGTAGTCAGAAGCACTCGAGCAGGGACTCTAACACCACCATCCCCTAACAAGGGAGGAGTGCCTTATGATACCACCCACCTACTTCTTCAGACTTTGGCCCCAGGTTTCCCTCACTTGTCTCTTTGATTGGGCCCAAAATGAGATCCTATTTTTGATAGGTTATCAGAGTAGGTCTTCATTAAGGCAATTTAGATTTTTTTTTAAAATCATCAGAGGATTGGAGTATGAGAGGTAGACAGAAGGGGATAAATTGTTCCAGCCAATTGGCCCCTTTGGGGCAATTACCCAGGGATACCCACCACTAGTTACTTATTTATCAGCTTAGTTCTCATCTGTGAAAGTATAGGATCATATACATGATCATGGCTGACGTGTTTGCTTCATGTTTCCTGCGCCCATCCTACTCGCAGGGATCTTTTGTGTTCAATTGGAGATTTGGGGGAACTCTTCCCCTTTCCCACTTCCTCTTTCTGACATCCCATTCATTTCCTTTGCAACAGAAGAACTCAAGGAGAAGCTGAAAGACTACGTGGACAAGGTGAATGCTCACAAGCCGGGCTTCATTAAGGTCGTCCGCCATAACAAGCAAGAAGGGCTGATCCGTTCCCGCGTAAGTGGCTGGCGAGCAGCCACAGCTCCAGTAGTCGCTCTCTTTGATGCCCATGTGGAGTTCAATGTTGGCTGGTAGGTGCCGAGACTTTTATCATCTCTCTCGGGCTTTCTGTGAAAGGGTCTTGGAGGCACCATTGGCTTGAATTCTGATCTGCCCCAACCCTTTCCTCCCATTTTGGGGAGCATGAGCTGGAGATGGTCCCTTGGCTTATCCAGTAAAGTAGTTAAGTAGTGATGGCATGATTGCTCATGGACAATGTGAATGCCTGGTTGTGCAGAGATCCTCTGTTGACAGAGAAAGGACTACATTTGCTGGGATGGGTAAAACACCTAGGTTTTATCAGGTTGTGAGCTATGCCTTTGCAGAAAACATTTCAGATAAACACTGAATCTTCTAAATCTGGGGTTTCTTACTATCTGCATGGCATCAAATGAAAAGTTAATATTAATAGGAGGCAGAGTAATACGGTGGAAGGAGGACTGGATTCCGGACCTAGGTTCAAATCTCATTCGTGCAACTTACTACCTATGGAGTAAGACCATGGGCAAATAACTTCACTTCTGGACCTTGGTTTCCTCACCTGTAAAACAAGGGCATTGGATGACTGCACATGTCTTCTAAGGGCCCTTTCAGCTCTAAAGCTACAAATCTATAAGCCTAGGATGATGATGATGTTGATAGCATGCTAGATTTGGAATCAGGAAAACCTGGGTTCAAATTCTGCCACAGCTACTTACTAGCCATGTGACTTTGGACAAAGTCACTTCCACTCTCTGAGCTTCAGTTTCCTCATCTATAAAACTGAAATGATCATGCCCATTATCCTTGCATCACAGGGCTATGGTTAAGTTTAAGAGAAATATACATACATACATACATACATATGTACATCTATACATACATATACACATATATAATTTTATAAACATACATATGTACATCTATACATACATATGTACATATATAATTTTATAAACTTTACAGTGCCATATAAATGTCAACTATTATTGCCATTTTTAATTTTTTTTTTTTGGCAAAGCAGTTATGGTCAAGTGACTTGCCCAGGGTCACACAGCTAGTAAATGTCAAGTGTCTGAGGCTGGATTTGACCTTGGGTCCTCCTGACTCTAGGGCCAGTGCTTTATCAACTGCACCACCTAGCTGCCCCTGTTATTACCATTAGTATAAATATAGCAGTTCACAATTATAAAGGCACTTATACAGTATCTACTATGTGTCAAGCACTGTACTGAGCACTTTCTTATTGTAACAAATACCACAACAATCCTGGGAGGTAAGTATTATTAGTATTTTCATGTTATAGACTGAAACAGACAGAGATTAAGTGACTTACTCCAGGGTCACACAGTTAGAAAGTGTCTAAGGCTGGATTTGAACTCAAGTCTTCCTGACTTCTATCCACCATACCACAAGCTACGTCCTGGAAATGTCAAGCAGAGACTTCACTTATGAAGTTAATTCTTCAACACGCCTATGAAGTGGGTAGTGAAAATTATCCCCATTTTATGAATGAGTAAACTGAGACTTGGAAAGAGAGAATGACTTATCCAAGACCACATAGTTAAGTACTTAATGAAACCTAAACTTGAACCCACTTCTGATTTCACATTCAGGGTTCTTTCTGTTAGACCACTCAAGAAACAGGAAGAAACAAAAAGCAAAGTAGGTCCCTTTTGTGTTACAGACTAGACTTGGGCTTGTTTTCCCATGACTCATGGGAAATTAAGATTGTAGCTAACAGTTTTTTATGATTAAAGTTCCTGCTTGGCATTTTCAGCCACTTACAAACCATTTTCATTGAATTTATGGTTGGGATAGGAGAGGGAATTAGATTGTTTAAAACTGATTTGAATAAACAATTATTCAGAAAATCTAATGCTAATGAGCAGAGGCCCTCTCCAGAAATACATTAATCATTATGAGTCAACAGGTATCTTGAAGCGGCCATTGATGGGCCCCCAAATCTTATTCTTCTTTGAGGCTGTTTACTTCTCTTCCAAACCTATGTCTTGAGGGTTAAAGGAGCTAGAGATGATAAAACAAATGAGGGAGACAGACAAACAGAGAGAGGGAGAGAAAGAGAGAAAGGGAGGGAGGGAGGAGAGGGAGAGAGAAGAGAGAGGAAGGGGAGAGAGACAGAGAAAGAGAGAGAGAGAGAGAGAGAGAGAGAGAGAGAGAGAGAGAGAGAGAGAGAGAGAGCGAGAGAGAGCGCAAGCATAGAGAAGAGAACACATAGTCAGGACAGATTATTGTCTTCAAATATTTTGTTTAGATCCAAAACAAAGGAGAGCAAAGACCAAGTGGGAGTGGTACTGTGATATGATGTGGAGCCAGAGGTCCTAGATTTGAATCTCAACTCTGTCACTTCACATATGTGTTATTTTGGCCAAGTCGTTTCTTCTCTCTCTCTCTCTCTCTCTCTCTGCTTCAGTTTTTACACCTGTAAAATGACAGACTAGAAGATCTATGATTTTCCTTCCAGCTCTAAATCTATAGCCCTACAATCCTGTGAACTCTAGCAAGCATACTTTGGTTCAGATAAGGAGGAATTTCTTGTTATTGCTGGGTCCAAACATATGTGTGGTTTCAAATTGCTTCCCGGAATGGTTGAGCCAACCCCAGGGCCAGTTGATGTGCCTACTTTCCCTCAGTCTCTCCAACATTTTCCATTTACATTTTTCGTCATCTTTGCCCATCTCATGAGTGTGAAGTGGAACCTCAGAGTTGCTTTAATTTGCATTTCTCTAATCAATAGTGAATTGGAGCATTTTTAGAAAAACACACTTGTTGTCAGATTGGATTTTTAAAGAAGAACTTCTTAACAATGAGAGCTCTTCAAAAATGGAACGGATTGCCTTAGAAGGCGGTGTTTTTCTATCACTGAAGGTATTCAATGAGTAATTTGTATGATTACTTGCCAAGGAGGTAACAGAGGAGATTCATAAGCAGGTATGGGTAGGGATAGATGACTTCTGTCTTCCTTTCTGGCTCTAAGATTTGGTGATTCTATGAATATCACACAGTGACAATTGAAAAAAAAAATTTTCTGGGTCCCAATGTCTTCCGCCAGGATGACAATATACAGTCACACTTGATTTAAATGTTTCGCTTCCCTCAGTGGGGCAGCTAGATGGCATAGTGGATAGAGTAGGGGGCCTGGAGTCATCTTTCTGAGTTCAAATCTGGCCCTAGACACTTACTAGCTGTGTGACCCTGGGCAAGTCACTTAATCCTGTTTCCCTCAGTTTCCTTCTCTGTAAAAATGAGCTGGAGGAGGAAATGGCAAACCACCCCAGTATCTCTGCCAAGAAAACCCCAGATGGGGTCCCAGAGAGTAACACATGAGTAAAAACAACTGAACAACAAAGCTCCCTCAGTAATGTACTATGAATTTATAGAAGACCGAAGTTAAAATTTAGTCATTCCCATGAAAGCTAAAGTTTTCTTTTTCCCTTCTTGAGAACAATTCTTATTCTGATTTTATTTGGAAGAAGGTAGAAAAAGAGAAGTGCCCCTGGACTGGTTGGCTTTGGGCAGCATGTAGGAAGAATTCTAAAATATTCTAACACCCTGGCCTTTGGCCTTGCTTTAGGGAACTTGCCAGGGCGAAGGGAACTTCCACGTAATTGTTAAAAATGAAGTTTTGTATCTTTTTCATAGATCATTAAAATACATTTTAAAATACATTAAAACATGAGTGGAAATGGAGATATTGTTCTAATTTTTAAGAAAGAGAATAATTGATTGTTGATAAATCAAAATAAAGAAAAAGAAAGAGAATAATTTAGAATCTATAGGATCTGGGCCAGTGAGGTTGACTTTGTTCCCTTATAAAGGGATGATTTTAAACATATAGAAAGAAAAGTAGTGGTCACTAACCAGCAACATGGTTTCATCAAGAACTGGTTATGGCAGACTAACCTGGCATAACCTTCTTTTGAAGAAGTTACTAGACTGATAGATCAGGGGAATGCCATACATACGATAAATATGAACATTCGTAAAGTATTTGACAAAGTCCTTCATACTATACACGTGGCAAATTGGAAAGATGTGGGCTAGATGATATAGAGAGGTAGATTTGGAACTGGCTGTATATTGGGCCCAAATAGTAATCATTACTGTAATAGTACAAAAAGGTAAATTTTAGTTCCGTATGAGGATAAATTTCCTAACAATTAGAGTTACCCTAGAGTAAAATGAGTTGTTTTGGGATTGAGGGGTCTTCGAGCAAATCTTAGATGAGTATTTGTCCAGATGACAGTAGAGGAGGTTGATGCTTAGGCTGGGTCTTGGCCTAGATGACCTCTGACACCCATCGAACTCATAATTCTGTAAAATTCCTTCCCCTTGCTTCCAAGGGAATTTCTAAGCTTGTTTTTATGATGGTTCCAGGGTTCCATTCTACCTACCCTGTTCAAGGGTGAGGAAGAATATTATTATTCTGGAAACTTTTCCCACTTTTTCTGGGTCTATCTCTGCAGCAGTAGCTATCTCTCTGCCTTCTTCCCCCTCAGGGCAGAACCTGTGCTCACCAGGATAAAAGAAAACCGGAAGCGGATCATTTCTCCATCCTTCGACAATATCAAATATGATAATTTTGAGATTGAAGAATATCCCCTGGCTGCACAAGGCTTTGACTGGGAGCTGTGGTGTCGCTATTTAAATCCTCCCAAGTCCTGGTGGAAGTTGGAGAATTCAACTGCTCCAATAAGGTATGTGCCCAGGCTGATGCACTCTCACCCTTCTGATGTACAAGCAGGTTATCTGTTTCCATCCACCCCTGGAGGGCATTTGGCCACTGGCCCAAATCTATCCCCTCCCACCACCTGCTTATCTGCTCTCACCATCAATTCCTCTCAGTTGGGCCAGGACCTTGTGGCTTTCCCCAGAGTAAAGCAACTGAAATTTCACCAACAGAAAATGGGGCTTCCAACTACCTTTCAAGGCCCAAATCATCTCTGCCGTTGCTATCTTTTGTGTCATCAACTGGAAAATACAATATTGGATTGGGTAGACTTAGCTTCTTATGAGTCAAAACCCATTAAAAAAATTAAGCTCTACAAGACAGTTACTATGTTCTTTGTTAATAGGGGTCATGTTATTATCACCATGCTATGTTGTGGTCTGATGACTGAACAGAATATTTTTTGAAAATGTTGTAATGAGCAATTCCTAAGAGGCATAATGGAAAAGGTCCCGGACTCCTTGTCACTAATACCTCATATGTGGCTTTAGGCAAGTCAATTCCCCTTTGAGATCCTCAATTTTTTCATCTAGAAAATGAGAATAACAATGCTTATTCTACCTCTGCCCCACCCAGCATTGGTGTGAGGAGCAAATAATTTAAAGTACATAAAGTCCTTTGTAACATAAAATTCTATATTATTATTCAATTTGATTCACCAAACATTTCTTAAATACCTACCACATGCAATAATGGGCAGCAGATAGAGCACTAGGCCTGGGGTCAGGAAGACCTGAGTTTAATTCCAGCCTCAGACACTCATTAGCTGTGTAACCCTGGGCAAGTCACTTAATCCTGTTAGCCTCAGTTTCCTCATCTGTAAAACTGGAGAAGGAAATGGCAAACCACTCCAGTATTCTTGCCAAGAAAATCCCAAAAGGGATCACAAAGTGTCAGACACTGAAAAACATCTAAAATGTGCACTGATAATAACTGACATTTATATAGTGCTTTAAGGTCTTCGAAGGATTTCACATATGTTTTCTCAACTGAATATCACAACCACCTTATAAAGTAAGTGCCTCTACTACTATTATTCCCATTTTACACATGAGGAAACTGAGGCTCAGAGGCATTAAGTGACTTGGCCAGGGTTACACAGCTACTAAGTGATTGGAATGGGATTTAAACTCAGGTCTTTCCAATTCCAGGCTGACTATTTGATCAGCTGTAGTATGTGTGTTCTCTCCCTCTCTCTCTCTCTCTCTCTCTCTCTCTCTCTCTCTCTCTCTCTCTCTCTCTCTCTCTCTCTCACACACACACACACACACACACACACACACACACACACAGACACACACACACACACATTTTATGACACTATGTTAGCTGCTGGAGATATAAAGCCACAAATGCAATAGTTCCTTCCCTCAAGGAGCATACATTCTGCTGAAAGGAGATAAAATATGCATAGATAAGTAAATATAATATATATATACACAGTAAACACAAAATAAGCCAAAAGACTCTGATTCAGTTTTTACTTCTGTCACACGCTGGCTATGTAGCCTTGACGAAGTCACTTAGGCAGCTTGATGGAACAATATGTCACAATGGGCCAGGAATCTGGAAGACCTGGGTCCCAAACTGCCGTCATACACTTACTAGCTGTGTGACTTCAGACAAGTCATTTAACCTAAATTTCCTTATCTATAAAATAGAGATAATAGTAGTATCTATCTATCAGGGAGGGTGGTTGTGAGGAAAAAAATGGGACAATATTTGGAAAGTCCAATGCAAACCTTTAGATGTCATATAAGTCCTTGTTATTATTAGTTATTATTAACTTCTTAGTACTCTGGGCAGCTCTCTAAGGCTCTGAGTTGCAAAGATGGTGCCAACATGTCTTGGTAGAAGGAATTTCTTAATCCTGTAACAATGAAGCTGTAGATCAAGTATCTAACTCTCATATTGCCTAAAATGTACGTGGCTGTGCACATGTTGGAATGCCGAAGTAGAATGGAAGTTTCTTGATGGTAGGAATGGCTTCTTTTTATCTTTGCATTTTCAGTGTCTGGAATACTATGTGGTACATAGTAGGTGCTTCATAAATACTGGTAGAATATAACTGAATGGGATTGGGTTAAGTAAGGCAACTCATTTCGTCAAAGACCGGCAGCAGCTAGAGTTGAGATGGAAGTAATGCCATCCAAGCAAGACCACCATGATCATCAGTTCACTTTCAGTAGACAAGATCCAAGATAGAGGAGAGCCTTTCACTCAGATATAATCAATTCTCACAGCTGATATAAACCTTGGAAGCTGGCAAAAAATATGCTTATTAATGCTTCTTAAAATATCATTGCCACTTCCCTGTTATTCCCCCTTATTCAGTTTATCCATCCCTTATAACAAAGAGATTCAGTGGTTTAGTTATTCTTCAGTAGTGTCTGCCTCTTCATGACCCCATTTGAGGTTTTTGTGGCAAAGATACTGGAATGGTCTGCCATGTGCTTCTCCGGCTCATTTTACAGAATGAAGAAATAGGCAAATAGGGTTAAGTGACTTGCCCAAGGTCACACAGCTAGTAAATGTCTGAGGCCAGATTGGAACTCAGGAAGATGATACTTCTTGACTTCAGGCCTGGCGCTGTGTGCCCTATGGCGTCACTTAGCTGCCTAAAACAACAACAAAGAGGTAGGTTAAGCAAAATAAATCAGCCTATTATCCATATCTAATTTTCTATACCTCATTCTGCATTTGTAGTTCAAGACCTCTCATTAGACAAGAGAGATCAGGCATTGCTAAACAGGTCTCTGAAATCATCAGTGTTCCAAAGACTTGCATTGTTGTTTTCCTCCACATCATTGTGGTCCTCATGAATATTCCTCCCCTACTTCTTCTGCTTGCTTAGTTCTTCATCGGTTGATCCAAGATTTCCTGAGCTTTTTTGAATTGTTCTTATTTGTCATGTTATGGCACAGCAATATTCCCTCACATTCATATGCCATAATTTGTTCAGCCATTTCCAAAATCAACACTGCCACCTTTTTCCTGAGAAATCTTCCAGCAGCATGTCCCCTGGGCCAGGGGAAGCCCAATAATACCATCTCCTCATTGAATTTCAGGAACATTGGTATGTGACTAATACTTTCTTCTCTTGTTTTCCTCCTTCTCCCATCAAATCCCTATCCACAGATTGATAAAACACCAGGCAAGAGCCAGAAACACATAGCATTGTTCAGTAGAATGACTTGGAACCATTTTAGCAAGCTTATGATCTCTCAAAGGCAGAAGCCTTCATTTCTTCCCAGCTGGATCATCCTACTACAGAGAAACACTGGGTGTTTCTACCAGCTCTTTGCTAACACCCTGCCCTCTTTAATTAGCACCCCATTGTGTCCAGGGTCCCCTACATGGGCACAATGACAAAGAGGACATTTTTCTTTATTGTGTGTTTGTAGGAAATTGCTAAAAGACAGCAGAACAAGTACTAGTTCTGCAGTATGCTTTGGGGAGGAACATAATTTTGTTTTGCTGTCATATCCTCTTGGGGCTCTCTTGCCTCAGAGGAGGGGATCATTAATGATTCTTTTCCCAGGGGTACACTTCATCTATGATTATCACTGGCTTATCACAATTATCAACATGATTAAGTGGGAGAATGTGATAAAATACTTCGATGCAACTATTTGCTCTCCATTTATTCTGACTGCCCCCTCTGTGTGTGAAGCCTATTACCCAACAAGACCTTTAAACCCAACAAGGAACCTTCTCAAGGTAGATGAGAGGAGGCTGTTCTTCCCTCTAATAATTCTTCCTTTATGATAGAGGCAGAGATATGATCTCAGACAAGAGTCTACTGAGGTAGCCAATCAATGGCCACCATTCCTCAAAACTGAGCAGTTCAGACAATCAGTCAATAAGCATTTATTAAATGCTTACTGTGTGCCAGATACTATGCAATGTGCTCAGCTTACCAATAAAAGAAAAATCAGTCCCTACCTTCAAAGGATTTGCCATCTAATGAACCAAGCAAGTCATTCCAGTTTTCATCTCTGTATCCTCATTATCTAGCACTGTGCTTATTTGTAAAAGATGCTTAATAAATGTTTATTGAATTCCATTAGAAAGTTCTTTCTTATATTGGGCCAAAATTTGTTTCCTAGTTTCTAACCATTGCCTGTGGTTCTGCTCCTAAACAGAACAAGTGTCATTTCTCTTCTAACATACTAGTCCTTCTGATATCTGAAGATACTGACCAGTAGTTGTTGTATAGGATTGTGATGGAGGACTGTTATTTTCCATGATTTAATCACTCTATTTCTCTTAGTTCAGTCTTAGGTTGTGTTAACTTTTAAAGTGGCCATATTGGCACTGTTGGTTCATATTAAACTTGTGATCAGATAAACTCCGCAGATCTTTTATAAGAACTGCTTTTAGGACATATTTTCCATTCCTTTACTTACACAGTTACATACACAGCTTGTCATTTGTTTGATGTGTGTGTATGTTTGTGTGTGTGATGGAGGAGGGTGACAAATGTAGGATGACATTCACTCTTACTAAGGTTCATCTTTTTTGCCTTCATTTCAATGTTCCAGCCTGTCAAAATGATTTTGAATCTTGATAGTTTCATCTGTGGTATGAACTCTCCCTCCCAATTTTGTGTCAGCTGTGAATTTGTTAAGTATGTCATATCCAAGTAACTCTTTAAAATGTTGAACGATCAGTACCAAGGACAGAGTCAAACAGAACTTGACTAAAGACAGCCTCCAGGTTGGAGAGAAAGAGATGATTCAGGATTAAGATCATAGAATGTTAGGGCTAGAAGGGACTATCTTGTTCATTTTATAGCAGAGGAAACTGATGTCCAAAGAGGAGAGGTTATTTACCCAAGGATGTGAGTTAGTAACAGAGAGAAGACTAGGACCTAGGTCTTTATAATTTTACCATGCTACCTTGCTACTAATGAAAATTTTAATGTTCCCCCAGTTCGTACTCTACCTCACTATACTGCCACTCAATCCACCAGACTATCATGGGAGAGTTTGTCAAATGCTTTTCTGAATAAAGATGTATCATGCCTATGGCATTTCCTGATCTGCCAACCTAGTGACCCTGCCCCAATGGAAATGGTACCTTCCTGTGAAAATACAATCTAGAAACATAACCTGAAGCTAAGCAGAAACGATGTCTACATTATTCACGTCAAAGCAGAATTTGGCCGGATTTTGTGTTGTCAGCATCAGGTAGGGAGTGACTCTAGAGTAGGGCAGTCTGGGAGGACTAAGGCATAGTGTACAACGGCGCCAAAAGTAACAGCTGGAAAGCCATAGAAGCTGGGCCATATCTGGAGCATTAGTAGAGCTGTTACTTTGAATTTTGAGAGCAAAGCCAAGGTCAATGGCCAGTGAATTTTCAAGTCCTACATTGTAGAGAGGATTTCTAGTCTAGAGCACTAGCCTTGGAGTCAGGAAGACCTGAATTCAAATGCTCCCTCAGGAGGACTCTGTGTGACTCTGGGCATAACTTCTCTCAACCTCACTTTCCTCATCCATAAATGAGGATAATAAAAGTATTTGCCTCAGGGTTTTGGTAAGGATCAAGATAATACTCAGAGTGCTTTGTAAACCTTAAGCTGCCATATAAATGCTATTATTATTGTTATATGATTCTTTAAGATTTACAAATTATTTGCATCATAATAGTGGGAAAGTTATCCATGTTTATAGATAACAAAATTTAGGCACAGAGGTGAAATTATTTTCTCATGGTTACAAAACTGGTAAGTGTCAGAGGCAGATTTGAACACACGCTGCTTGGCTTCAGATCTAATGGTCTTTCCACTATACTAAGCTGTTTCTAGAGCTTCTGAAGGCTCTTCCAACTCCAAGATGTTGATTCTATATCTCTTAGCATTAGGGAAAACTGAGGGCCGTTGATGAAATTGGGAGTCTAATTAGGGAGATAGGGTTGAAACTCAGAAGCCCAAGCCTGGCAGAAGGCATGGGTATAAAAAGACCCCAAGTGTACAAGGATGGGCTGAGAGTTAAGAATTCTGGTCATACAATGAAACAGGAAAGAAATGTGGCTCACATTAGGAACCATGGAACATCACTGCAGGCCCTAGAGGAAGCTGGCAGGTTGGTACAATGTCATAGCCAGAGATCCCCAGGCAGGTACTGTCTGCCCTCTTCTTAAGTATCGAGGCGCCTTCTTTATGTTGATGAAAGAGGGCTTGGCAGGAGTGGGCTGCCCAGTAGATTATCTAGGGCTCGGCAGGTGGAAGCCATCACAGCAGATGACCATACCTCCAGGGGGCCCTTGCAACACTCTAATCCACAGGAATCCATGAAGGGCAACCTCTGATAACTGTTTCCATCTCTGTCCTGCCTACAGGAGCCCAGCCCTCATTGGCTGCTTTATTGTGGACAGGCAATATTTCCAGGAGATCGGCTTATTGGATGAAGGAATGGAGGTCTATGGAGGAGAAAATGTGGAGCTGGGGATCAGGGTGAGTTGGTTTCTAGGGAGTAAGGACTTAAGAGAGAACGTGGGCAAATGGAGAAATGGTGCAGAACTGTCCTGTGGGCAGAAAGACTGAATATGAAGGACCATCAAAGTCTCACCCAGGATTGCTGGAGCCTAGCAGGTGCAGGAGGTGTTTGTGGGCAGCTCATGCCAATAGATGGCATAATCTAATTGCCCATTCTTAATAGAGGGTTGCAGTAGCAGCAGCCCATGCAAAGCTGAGCAAGGAAAGATCCTCCCAACACCTGGACTCATTTAAACGAAGGGAAATTGCTTTGGAGGCAGCTGGAATGCACAGGATTATTGGGGAGCTAATATATTCATAGAGTATGGTGCCTGCATAATCACCTTCATTTCCCCTGCTCTCTCAGCCCTGGTCATTTATTCACCATTTGCCAGCCTTGGTATCTCATTCCATCTCTGCTCCTAGATAAAATGCTCACCCCCAAACATAATATTGTCCTATTGAAGTGGCTGCCAGGGATTGGTGGTACAGGCAGGAGGTGCCTCCTGTTGCCTATGTAAAATGGGTAGAAATGACTGGGTTTGTATCAGGGAATTAGATTTGTGAACTCTGCTACCATCAGGCGTGTGAGTCAATCATGATAAGCTAGAGTTGTGTGGCTTTTCAGTTCCTTGAATATAAAGCTATTCTGGTCTATGGGCCAATATGCAATTCTCTATGTGCATGGTAAAATATCTGAAGATAATTCAGTGCTTGGGGTTTAAAGGTGTTATGAAAACATAGGATTCCTTTCCTTCTTGACTCTTCAAATTCCTTCTTTCCTTCTTGTCAGAGATAAAGTGTGATTATAACAGCAGCAGAGAGGATGGATGGTCCTTACTCACACTGCCCAAGAACCAGCTGACAATGGACCTAACAAAAGGGGGATGTTTTGGCTTCTCTGTCCTGTTCTGTGGTCTCCAGCCTACCCACACTGAGAGTGGTAAAAGCTGCAGCCCAGTGGCAGTTTCCCCCGTCTGAAACTGACTAGGTGATCACAAAGGACCCTTTGAGCCCAGCTAGTCGTTGAGTCTTTGAATCACCTGAAACTACTTCCTCAGATGATTTAACTCTAATTTCACTGAACCTCAATTTCTTCACATGTCCAATGCTCATAATAGTGCCCCATAGCATTACTGTGAGGTTTGAATGTGATAATGAAAGCACTCCGAAAAATATAAATTCCTCACATGCAATAACATTTTACCTACACCAATGTCAATAAACCTTCAGCCCCTTTTCCTCCCTTCCTCCTACACATATCTAGAATCCAGTCCAGGACTAGAAAGGTAGCAAAAAAATTTGTCTACTTAGAAGTAAAACAGATGTCACAGAGCCCATGTACTGGTTCTTTTTTATGTACAATTCTATTAAGCATGGTTATCTGTGTTCCCAGCCCACAGCTGATTAGAAGCAGCAAGCTAAAAACAGGGAAAGAGCATGCTACAGGTGGTCTCATGAGTGGTAGTAGGGGGAAGTATTAGTGGAAAAACAGTGAGGGAGGAGACAGAAAGACAATGAAAAGCAAGTGCAAAAACTCAGAGCCAAGCATTCTGGACCTGTTAGGTGCAGGGCCCAAGGGCCCAACTTATCAGAAGGCAGCCCTGTATTACACAGTAGAAGCAAGAATGGATATTCATGACGATGACCTAGAGTCATCAAGACAAGGTTAAATTTTGTTTTCATTCTTTGGTTAAAGAAGGCAAGGAATTGTGTGATACTTAGAAAACATTTCCACCTCAAATGTTTGAAGAAAAACAATTGGGTTACTTAAAGGGATGACTCTTGAATTCTGAAACAAGGTAGATAGGCATATAGCATCATCTTTATTTTGCTCCAGCACCTCAGTGAGTCGAGGCTGAAACAGGAATACACCCTAGATTTATGGCAGCAAATTGGGAGATTATCCTGTGTGTCCACTGAGGTGCTCCTGAGGCTAAGCACAGTCACAACCATGGCACTGGGCAATAGTCTGGGATTACCCATGGGCTTGTGGTATTATGAACAAGGGAGACTTTTCAGTGTCTGAGAGGTGCTGATACTCCCATACTCCAGACTGCACCCCTTTAGTGTCAGGCAGCAATGAACTTTGGGAGTGTCTGCATGTGATTGGGTCAGTTTTTCCTTTCCCATCCATGCTACATTTAACCCTTCCAAGGCATGGCTAGGTTTGAAGGAGGGTCTCAAGCTGTCAACTAGCTGCATGTTCCCATTTCCATTATACTAAGAAGTTATCCTGGTGATACACTTAACCATGGGGTGCAGACTCAAATGATTTACTAAAGGTTGCAATGATCCAGATGCAATTGCAATGCTGTACTATTTAGAACCACAGTATCTAGCGTGAAGGGCAACATGACTTCATGGATTGAGGACCAGGCTTGGATGTAGGATGATCTAGGTTCAAGTCCTGCCTCTGACATAAACTGAGTCAGTCAGTCAAAAAATATTTATTAAGTGCTTATTGTGTGCCAGCCACTGTGCCAAGGGCTAGGAATGCAAATACAAGCAAAAAGACAGCTCCTGCCCTCAAGGAGTTTATGTTCTAGTGGGGGAAGGCAACACATTAAAGGAAACTGACAAGTGGGTGGGGAGAATCTTGAAGGTACTCTGAACAAGGCAAGGACATGGGAAAGAAGTCTGGAGTGCAACCTGGGGAAAAATCAATACATAGCTGGCCTGGGCACTCTTCTTAAATGGAAGTTCTGGGAGAAGCCATCCAATCTTGCTTAACCTCGAAGTGCTTCAGACAACTCTCTAAAATTCTGAATTCCTCTTGAGTTACTCATGTGTATGGGTAGACAGGGAGTCTATACTAGGCATTTCTTGTATTGATGAAATTTCAGATTTAGAACTCCCTCCTCCCCCCTCTTCCCCAAAGTAGCTAGGATAACACATTTCACTCTAAACTTCTTCTAGCTGATGACCAGAGTTTTGCTCCTCAGGCCATCTCCCTTTGTAGTTCATTTGTCTTTCAGTCACATCCCACTCTTCATGACCCCATCTGGGGTTTTCTTGGCGAAGATACTGGAGCGGTTTGCCATTTCCTTCTCTGATCTTCCAAGTTCCCCACAGCATCTTTATTTTCAGAAGCTCCAAGCTTAGCCCTGCTCTCACCTTTGTGCCAAATTATATATCTGGAGGGAAATTGAGAAGGGCTTCTGCAGACTTTGCAGGGGTGTTCAAAGGAAAAGATATGGAGGAAACAACAGAAGCAACAGATTGCTGCACAGAATTGAGGAAGACCAGTGAGTTGGTAGCAGTATGAATTTTGAAAGAGTGCCCTCATCTTCTTTCTCTATGTCTGCTGATCAAGGTGGAAAGAGTGCTGTCTTTGGAGTCAGAAGACCTGGGTTCAAATCCAAGCTCTACTATGTAATAGCCATGAGACAATGGACAGACTATGTAATCTCTGAGTTTCATCAATTAAATGGAGGAGTTGGACTGGATGCCCTCCAGCATCCCTTCTAAGTCCAAGTCTATAACTCTAAGAATCTATTGAATAGTGATAATGATAAAAACAATAAAGACAACAGTGATAAGAATTCCAGATTCACATGTAAGTCATACTGTGCTCACTGCATTGTGTTCGGTGGAACTCATACAAATATGAATAGGACTCAGTCCTTGCCCCCAAAGAGTTCATAGTGTAATGAGTGATTCAGAATCATAGATTTAGAGCTGGAGGAGATGTCAGAGGCATCATGTCCAACCCCCTCATTTACAGAGGTGTAAACTAGGACTCAGGTCTAGTGACTTGCCTAAATTCACACAATTAATCGGTGTGAGAGGCAGTATTTATACTCAGGTCTTCCTGACCAAAAAGTCCTGCACTCTCTCCACCATGCTACCTAGTGCTACCTACATGAAGCATGCCCATGGGTAACTATGATGGAAAATACAATCTAAGTGTATAAGCAAGGTATGAACAAGGTACAATGCCTTCCTTTACAACTGTGGCAATAAAAGACTTATGGAGATGAAGTTTGATCTGGGCCTTAAAGGATTGGTGTAATTTCAACAGCTGGAGCTGGGAAGGAGGATATTCCAGAGAAGATGATTATAATGATTAATTAGCACAGTGCCTGGCACACAATAAGCACTTAATAAATATTTACTAACATTTTTGCAGGGTAGTTGATCCCTGGCTGCAATCTAAGCTCCTTTGCCTTACAGAATATCGTGTTCCATGCCCTGCGGTCTTTTAATGCAGAAGCTGCAAGGTCCTGTGTAATCCTCATTGTGGTACCATGATAGTTAAATTGTTTCTTTCTGACTGCTTGCAGCAACTTCTCTTTCATTTGGTAATTTTGGAATTTTGGTGTTATATTCCTTGGCGTTTTCAACTTGGGATCTGTTTCAGATGGTGAACAGTGGATTCTTTCTATAGTTATTTTACCTTCTGGTTCTAGGACTTCAGGGCAGTTTTCCTTTATGATTTCCTGAAAAATACTGTCCAGACTCTTTTTTCATCATGATTTTCAGGTAGTCCAATAATTTTTAAATTGTCTCTCCTGGATCAATTTTCCAGGTTGGTTGTTTTACCAATGAGGTATTTTACGTTTTCATCTATTTTTTTATTTTTTTCTTTCTGTTTGACTGATTCTTGATCTCTCATAGAGTCATTACTTTCCATTTGTCCAATACTAGTTTTTAACAGATTGTTTTCTTCTGTTAGTTTTTGTACTTCCTCCTCCAACTGGCCAATTATATTTTTAAGGGATTTGTTTTCTTCAGTGTACTTTTTTTCCAGTTGGCCAATTGTGTTTTTTAGGGACTTGTTTTCTTCAGTGTACTTTTTTTCCAATTGGCCAATTGTATTTTTGAAGGACTCTTCTACCTCTCTCATTTGACTTTTAAAATCTTTCTTGAGCTCTTCTAAGAAGGCTTTTTGGGCTTCAGACCAGTTCATATTCCCTTTTGATGTCACAGATGTGGGTTTGTTGACACTGTTGTCCTCTTCAGAATTTCTGTCTTGA